ACGATAACGACAAAAACATTTGCTTTTATAAAACAAAGAAACGCTAGCTTACATACCTGCAGATGCTCCCTCATGCTTTTCAATGGCAAGGAGGATTAGACATGGTGCGCCCATGGCCATTAATTTGATTTAACAGTAGGGGGGACAATAAATATAACATTTCTTATGAGCAATTTTTAAAAGATTTTTTGAAGGGGACACAAATAATACAGCCAAATTGTACTTATATGTCTCCGCAGTTAAAAATGGTTTTATTGTTCATATTACAGCATGGAGACTACATCATTATGGTTATTTTCAAAGTATTTCTCAGGTTCAATGACAGCAAATTTTTCTTGAAAACTATTTATTGCATTGTTTGTTGTGTTGTTTACAGTCAACAGACTGACTCCTGAAGCCGAATAAATGCAGGAAAAGACGTTTTCCATACTCATAATAACTAACTGGTTTACATTACACTTGTTAAATTGAGAGATCATATTGTAAATTGGTGAGCCTGTGAGGTTCATCTGCTAAACAGCCACAACTCAGAAAACATTTTAAAAAATTGTTCACCCCTAAAAGAATTGTCATTATCCCTTCAATAAAGCACAACACCCTTACCTGACACTGTACATCTGACTGACCCTGCTCTGCCTGATCCTCAATCAGTTCTTTCTCCTCTGCCTGTGATTGATAATGTGACATCAGTATTTTCATAAGCACTCATTCTGAAAGCCAAATTGCTGAATATGTGAACTTTTTGTACTTGGAGTTTTGCTGCACTGAAAAATTATCTTATTTCCATTTTCCTTTTCTCTTTAATTTTATCATTGAGGTAAAGTTGGTTTTATATTTGCACATTCAGTCTCTCATAATATAACCTCAGAAGAGTATTCATTGAAATTCTAAATAATAAAATTATATTAGCAGCCAACAACCATCAAAGTACAGCATTGTTTACAGTTAGTGTTAATATTATATTGGTTTACCTAAAGGTTCTATAAAGACGTTGCAACTGATACAAAATACAGCAGCCAGAGTTTTATTGAAATTGAAGACTCAAGAACATATCACAGCAGCATTAATAGAATAAATTGTAGGATTCTTTTATTAGTTTATAAGGCACTACACAACATGACACCTTTCATAATTTTCTGACTGCTTATCAAAATATAATCCAAACCGTTTGCTACGCTCTTCTAGCACTCAACTTTTAGAATTTCACTTTGTAAATCTGATGCGATCTGGCGGCACTTCTTTTAGTCACTATGCTGCAAAATCTTGGAATTGTTTCCCAAATTAAGTAAAGAATCCCCCAGAATTTATTTTTAAAAAGCTTAAGAAGCACCTTTTTAAAATTGCGTATGAATATAAGTTTGTGAAGTTTATGCAATTTATCTATATCGTGTAGGTTTATGTACATATGCATGTACGGTGTGTGTGCATGTATGTAAAGAATATTGTGTGTGATTGTGTAGATGTATGCATATATGTGTGTACATGTATGCTTTTATCTGAGTATATATTTTGCTTTAATTGTCTAATATACATTATTTTGTATTTGGTTTATTTTACAATGCCTGTTTGTTGTTTGTGAAGTGCCTTGAGTTCCATGTATGTAGGAAAAGTGCTATACAAATAAAATGTATTATTATTATTATTATTAATGTTGTTTTGAAGTCAAACTTGCATGAGATTTCAGTTCAAATATTCAAAGTACCATGGTAAACAATGTATGGAGCTGTCACTGAATGAATGTGCGAATATAAAACCAACTTTACCTCAATCATTTTATCTAGTCCATGACACTGCAATGCAAGTTTATTCTGTAGCACATTTTATATACAATGCTAATTCAAAGTGCTTTACATAAAGAATGAAAAACTATCATAAAAATCATCACAACAATAAAAACAAGGAAATTTTATATTTTAAATTAATTTATTCACCTAAGAACAGAACTGAAATTGATTATACAAAAAATAAAGTGGGGCTAGTTTGGACGTAGCACAGTGCTCATTTAGCAAATCCACAGATAAACAATATGCTAATTGTGGCCGTTAATGTAAAGTTAACATTATGCCAAGTTGTCACAAATGAAACAATGCACTTTGACGTATTATTTTGCAGTGCGCCACTAACGTAAGCTAAACAAGCATACGTTAACAACATGAGTAATTTTAACCGCTAATACAGCAGATTCATGGACATCGGTAATCTGCATTTTTGCCGCAACTAATTTATAAATGATTCTAAATTAACTTTGAAGAGAATCGATTTATTTAATGTGATTTATACACCATACTTACTCAAATTCAACATTGACCTGTAGCCACACACCTAACTTCTGTGTCTGTCTGTCTGTCTGTGACTGTGTGACAGGCTGCGTGTACTTGAGGAGTAGGTGGATCAAACCACTATAAGGAAGCGGGGGTGAACTCTTTCTAAATGCATTTTAAATAATAAATGCGGTTTTTTCTACTTAGACAATTATTTTAGGTATACACACATATATTTTTCAAAATAGAGAGTGCGTTTATATATATATATTTATATATTTTATTTGGTGAGGAGGACAATGAACATGTTCCCCCCGGGATTTACGCCCGTGGTTGCGCCGCAAATCAAAATAATAAATGGCCTTAGCAGAAGCCATCGTGCATATCAAAAACAGGCAAAGCAATAGATTAATATTATTCAACATATCACAGAGATTTAAAGAAAAATTATAGATGTAACCCCATTTGTAATTTTTAACATTTTCAAAAGTAACTGTAATTTAATTACATTTTTTTCTTAGTAACTGTAACTAATTACTGTTACTTTTATTTTGTAATTAAATTACGTAACGGCGTTACATGTAACTAGTTACTCCCCAACACTGGTTTTCACTGACTGTAGGCTATACTTTGTGTTGTTTTGAACCTAATTAACGACAATGTCTGTTTTGTGTAGTTCTGCAGTTGGTTACATATTGGAGACTGTAAGGGTCTGTATGTGTTCATATATGTTCATTTATTTATTTATTTAATATAATTATAGACGTTACTGTAGGCTATTTCGCACCGTCATTGATCTGCAGTTATAATCAACTCCTGTTTATAGAAAAGTTATAGAAAAGTTACTAATAAACATTTATACACAAGTATTTATGTGTAAAGCATTTGTTTTGTGAGAAGTGCTTTTCATATGATATGTGAACGACCTGTGCAGCTTTATTGTAGACATTTTCTCGAGCAAAAATGACATCAACTGAAACTTTGTCATACACCACGCCCACCAAAAGGGTACTGTGATGGCCTGTCATATGGCCACACAAGACTGAGGGTAACAAACACACGCACACAATCGCTCAGACACACATACACACACACACAGACACATACACACACATTAACTCAGACACACGCGCTTACACATACACGCACATTCGCTCAGACACCCACAAACACGCACATTCGCTCAGACCCAAACAATACTCTCCTGCTCCTTCACTAGCTTCACAAACACGCACCTTGCTTAACTACACGCATACAAACAGGCATCACATCCATAAGAACTTTAGGTAATAGAGACTGACAACTTTCCTTTATTTCATATCTTTATTTATAAAATAAGTTCCAAATATTACATATCACAATTTCTTTCAGTTTCGGTACATTGTTTACTGGTTTGGAGTGCACACATTCTAGTTTACATTAGTACTGTTTCTGTTATTTCTGTTTACTTATGGCTGTTTCTGTTGAGTTAAAGTTACCGGAGGGTGCAGTGGAGGATGACGCTGTGGTCTGCTGGATCGGCCGTCATGTTTACTGTCCGGGTGATTCCGCGTGGCGGAACCAATGTGCCGAAATGATAAGGGGGGGAAAGTTTACTTTGAATATGTCTTTTATATTATTTGTTTGTTTAATTTAAATTAGTTGTTTATTTTGAGTAATTGTGTCTTGTATTTTGTAAGTGTCTTTTATTTAGAATTAGTTTGATTAGTAAATATTATATTTATAATTGTTATGTTTTATTGTTTCACCTATGTTGTTTAAGTGGATCCACCGTTTGTGTATAAATACTCTGTAGTTGTTTCATTTGGTAGGTCAGTTTGGTTGTGTTCAGACTTCCTGAATTTCTGTTATATTTTTGTTGGCCTCAATTTGTTTTCCAACTAGTTTTTATGTTGAATTATTATTTTGTTTAAGTTAAATAAATATTTTTTGGCCTTAATTTTCCTGTGTCCTCGTGCCTTACCGCTGGGCTATCTCACAGGTACCCTTGGTAGTGGAAACGCAAGCCTGATAAAGGTGACCCGTACCGATCCGAACCGTACCATACTGTACCAGTCAGTGGAAACGAGCCATTAATTTTCTTATGTCCATGTAAAGCTATACCCAATTGGCCCAACACCCACCCAAAAACAAACAATATATTTGATTTGATTTATTTATTTTCGAACAGAAATATAATATATAAAATATCATTGACAAAAAATACATTTCAACATGGTCGAAAATGGAGTGTGATGAAGCACAAGCTTATTATTTTCCTACCCCATTACCACATACATAATTTGTCTATTACTTAAACTTATTTCTTCTTTAACTTATATCTTCTTTTTTCATGAGACATATTTTATCCTTTTGGCATATTTGACAAATTGTATGTTTGATTCCATTTGTACCTTTACATTTTAGGTTTAAGTTTTAAGAAATGTTTTTTTTTTATTTTTTTTATTAACTCTGTTTACTTATTAAAAAGGTTTAATTATCTTCCTTACAATCACATGTGTTTTTAATATAATTTTTAAAGTTTTAAATTGGCCAACAAAAAAATCTTTACCCTTTGCTTTGTGTAACTCTGAAATTTCATTCATTATGGTCTAAAAGGGTCTTAAAAAGGTTCTTAAAAGTCTAAAACTTGACTTGATGAAACCTGTAGAAACCCTGGTTTTAAAAATCTGATCCTTGCCCAATAAAGAGTTCAAAGATTCGCCTCAAGTATTTGATTTCATGCATTTTTGTTTACAGCTTCTCATTACCGTTTGTTCCCCAAATCCCTGGGCCAAGTGCTTTCCAAGTTTTCGGTGCGTGAGCTGCACATCTCCTTCACGCAGGGCTACTGGAGGACCATGCAGTGGGGGCAGCCCTTCATCGCTTCTCCTCCTGGAGCAGAGCTCTGGGTCTGGTTCCATCACACCGTCACCGAGTGAGTGCTTACATGTGCTTTAGTTACTGAGATAGTTCATCCAAAATTCTAAATGTACTTAACATTACAGTGGCCAAGAGAGCTTAATGTGCTGCCATTTAAGAAAACACGTGCAAATGCATACTAGAAACATGCTAACCAAATGTAGTTATAAAAGTTTTAAACTTCTTAAAACTTCAACTATGAAAACTTTAAAACTACTTCAAACTTTCAGACTAGGCTTTCTCAAGCCACCATAATGTTTTTCAATGAACTTTTCTTTTTTTAGTTTTAGTTGAACTGCCATTTTAACTATGAAAATAATTTCAAATGATCTTTATAATATGAGCTTTTTTTTGTTTTTTTTTTTTAAAAAAAACCCACACACATTACTAACGCTTTCCTTCTTAGACTTTACACACCTGAACCTTGTCTACAGCACTTATTCATTGTTGCTCTTATAGTTGTGTAAATTGCTTCCTTGTCCTCATTTGTAAGTCGCTTTGGATAAAAGCGTCTGCTAAATGACTAAATGTAAATGTAAATGTTTTCTTTTATAGCTTGAACATAATAAATTGCAATGCCAAAATGGACTAACACTCCTCTGACTCTTTGTTTAATTCTTAGTGTTGATGGTAACTGGAGGGAACTTACCAACGTCCTCTCTGGAATCTTCTGTGCATCTCTGAACTTCATTGATCTGACCAACACAGTGCAGCCCAGTGCTTCCTTCAAACCGCTGGGTCTGGGAAATGGTACGTAGGACTGTCATACTAATCTATCTCTTTTGTTTGTGTCAGTGTCAGTATGGTTATAAAAGCACTTTATTATGTACTATAAATTACTATAGGATATCTATATACAGTCAGAATTATTAGCTCTCCTCAATTATTTGACTCCCTTTTTATTTTTTTCACCAATTTCTGTTTAACAAAGAGACAATTTTTTCAACACATTTCTAAACGTAAAAGTTTTAATAACTCATTTCTCATAACTGATTTATTTGATCTTTTCCATAATGACAGTAAATAATATTTGACTAGATATTTTTCAAGACACTTCTATACAGCTTAAAGTGACATTTAAAGGCTTAACTAGGTTAATTAGGTTAACTAAGAAGGTTAGGGTAATTAGGCAAGTTATTGTATAACGATGGTTTGTTCTGTAGACAGTCGGGAAAAAATTAGCTTAAAGGGGCTAATAATTTTGTCCCAATTTTGTTTACATTGGACATACATTTATTATTATTTATTTGTTTAGGATATCCGTTTTCACATTCTGATTCCAATGCCTAATTATTAAATTGTTAAAATTACTAGAATTAATGGAAATATTCTTAAGAATTAAATATTATGTGTTTTTTGGAAGAGTGTACTTGCATTATGGTGATATTATAGTGTCAAAAAGGTCTTAAAATAACAATATTTTTTATAGCAATAATTTTTATTATATTATACTATATATATCGTACAACTAAACTAGGATTAGGAAATGTCCTCGAACTGATATTAGAACATAGGACACCCAAAAGCACAGTTACACTACATGTAAGTGCAGACAGTTGGAAACAACTGATAAGAACACAAATTTCACAGATGTGAATTATGTGTGTTAGCAAGTAAGCTGAGCGGCTGATGGTTGTAATCTACACTGTAAAAAATGTTGTTGCCTTAATTTTTTTTAATTATTAACTTTTCTAGTCATCTTAACTTGCATTAATCAAACTGACTAAAGATTTAAGTTCAAGTTTGTTCTACTTAGATAGTTGAAAATAGTTAAAAAAAATTGAAACCTGATTAACCAGAATAGGTTAAAGCAGGGGTGTCAAACTCAATTCCTGGAGGGCCACAGCACTGTAGAATTTATTTCCAGTCCTGCTTCATATGTAGGTATCGAATAAGCCTGAAGGACTCATTTAGTTTAGGCAGGTGTTAAATTAATTAGTGTTGGAACCAGGGCTTTACATTAACACCCGCCAACAGCGGGTAGATTTCAGCTCTGGCGGGTTAGACTGACACCTCCACTAGCCACTTTGACTGGTTGGAAATCATTTTTAAATTGTAGTTTTCTTAAAAGCAGGGTTCGACAATAAGCATGGCCCAAAATTCGTGAAAATGTGATAATAGAATCGAGAAGCAGCACGATTGACAAAAATAACTGCGTTCGCGAGAGCAAAAGAATGATAAATACAGGATAAGAGCATGATCACTTGTGCTAACAGCTGATGTGATGCGCACGACTGTTAAAAAGCGTGCGCGCTCCCATTTACTTGTGCAAAGCTACTGTGCCTAGAGGAAGCACAATGGGTGCGATTGGTTATCTTTTAAATAGACTGTACAAAGAGCAATGATTGTTTACCCACAGTCCTGCTGCTTTCATGAGATCAAGATTTAAAAAAACACACATTCTTTTGTAAGCAGCAGTGGTCACTGCTTTTATTTGAATTATTCTTAGAAGAGATTATTAACAGGCCTAACATTAACCTTGTGCATGGCGTGTTTTACTTACTTTCTTTTTCTTACAGTTATTTTTGTTACTATGGTTTAATTGTCATTTTTTACAGTAACATTGCTTTAATGGGACATTACTCCCCGTTTATGTGTAGTGTATATAATTTGGTAATCTGGGACTTTTAGCCTGGACAGATCACTGTGCATATTTAAGATACATGACAATAATAATTTTTTTAGATGTAATGTTTTTAAAGAAAAGTTTTGTTGAATTAAACAGTGTAACCATACAGCTATATTTTCCTTGTTTTTAGACATAAATAAAACATGGCTAAGAAATACTTAATTGGTGTTGTCAGAGATAAATTTGTTAAATCCTTAATTTTAAGCCATGAAAAGGCATGTGAAATAAAAACTGATTGCACCATGACACAACCCATTTGCTCATGCACACTGAGCAAGCTAATACACAATACACACAAGAAGTTAATGAATGAGAAGGCATGTGGACATAACACAATATCTAAATCGTAAATTAGCATGTCAAAGTCAAATTTAAGCAAAATATATTTTCCCAACAAGAAAAATGTGGCTAGTGAAAATGACGAGTGGCTAGTAATGTTGGAAATCTACTAGCCACAGTGGCTGGTGATCAAAAAAGTTAATGTCATGCCCTGGTTGGAACTAAACTGAGCAGGGCTGCGGCCCTCCAGGAACAGAGTTTGACACCTCTGGTTTAAAACAACAAAAAAATGTTTATCGTCATTAATTTTATTTTTTACAGTTTGGTAATCAAACAACCAAAAAAGACACCATCGGAGTAAACAGCTATGGTTATGTTGATTTAATGTTGTCTAATGTCAGAATTTATTCAGCAAATGCATATTCATCTACCAAATTTTTAAACTTTCATGAATTTTCTTCTGTTAAACACAAAACAAGATTCTGAAAAATGTTGGGGGAAAATGTAGCCATTGTCATGTATAGTAGGAATAAAAAGTACTATGGAAATCAATGGCTGTTTTTTACAGCATTCTTCAGTGTATATTACTTTGTGTTCAGAAGGAGAAAAAAACTCAAACAAGTTCGGAACAAGTAGAGGAGGAGATTTTTGTGAACTGTCAATAGGAAACACTATTGAAAAGAAAGGCTTGCAATATTTCCTTTTACTTGGATGCATGGCGCTGTACACTTCTTTTGTATCTTAGTGATTTCATTAATTGTCTGTGTAAACATATTTTTAGAGTCAAATAAATTTTACGCACATAAAGGGATGAAAATAAGTATTGATAACACAATGTTTTTTTTCCGAGGAATAATATTCCTAAAGAATAAGACATGGAATTAAACCAGATTTTGGTAAAAACCATAGACGATAAAATATATGGACGTAGTATTTGTTTCGTCACCAAAATACGTCCAAACACTTCAATTATAGTCTGTGTTAGTAAATGCAAGGCTGTTGATAAAATCCAGGCATAACACTGTATTGACAGTGTTTCAGATGGATGTTCTAGAGCCTACAGCTAATCTGTCAGATTCTGGAGGGCATTACAGCTCATAAATTATAAATGATAAATCATCTTAAATAAAACAAATACATTTATAGAGATGGTATACAAGTATATAATTTCACTCACCTGGGAAATGGAGGCAACTTGAACAGTTTGTGTACAATTACAATTAAGTGCACACAGCATGCCATATCATCTGATAATTGTTGAAAATAATCCCAAAAGGCAATCGACTGTATAAAGAAACATTAACCCTAACAAAAATATGATGTATATGCCGAGCTCATTGGCTAATTAGCCGTAATCAGCTGAGGTGGCGAGACAGTGAGCAGCAAAAGCGAGCTGTCACTCAAGTGGCCATGCCCTTAATTATGCAGACATAATATAGCTTAATAAAAGCTAAACGGATGAGTTCTAAAAGATTTCACCCCTCTCACAGTTTTCATGAATATAAATCATGGCTATAAGTACCAAGCCATCTTTTGTACCAGGCTGAAAGCATGTTTTTATCAGCTGTAAAAATGGCCAATTTCCCATTGCAGTCAGAAATGACCTGGACTTCCTAGAGCCAGCCCCCCAAGGCAAGTCGATGAATTACAGTTTTAGTTACTTCCGTATTGGATTCCCGAGGGAGAGCGGGAGGTTGCCGCTTGGTAAAAACTCAACAATACAAATATAAAAATAAAACAAAATAAAAACCTAGTTCTGTTTAATGACGATGAAACGACACAAGAGGACTACGTGTGTCTGTATAAACATACTTTGGGAGTGCTTCAGTTGACCAATCACTTCTGAATATATGAAAACGGGCCAATGAAATGCCAATTGAATTGGCGGAGCTTAGCTCCACACTGTTGAGCCAATAAGGCTAAATCAGTCAGCTCATCAGAATTGTTGCTTCAGACCCGATCTGAGACTGAAGAACCCTTCTGCTGAGCTGACTTCCAACGTTGAAGACCACCACCACCTTCACCCGTGCGGGGGAAGACATTTTAGTGGCGGTCGAGCTGGCTTTCCCGTCCCCTTGGCATTTTGCTGGCGATCTAAAACAGCAGTTTCTACAAAGAGCAGAATTGCCTAAGAGAGCACACGGTCAAGCAGCACGCCTTTTTAAAGACATTTGGACCGTGCGTTTCTGGATGCAGTGGTTTCCTCGCCCTTGATGACAGGCACGAGTACTGCGTCACATGCTTCAGGGTCCAACATGTTGATGCGGTTCTCACGGACAGTTCTTGCCCGCATTGCGATGGCTTGACTGTTGCGCAACTGAGGTCGCGGCGAGCTCTTTTATTAGGGCAAGTCACCCCTGCTGCTCCCCGCCAAGCAGTTAGCACTCAGACAGGCCTAAGGGTTACAGTAGGGGCTAATCCGTCGCCTTCGAGCCCACGGACCCCTCGCTCCTCATCAGTGCTCCCTGTTTCTGCTTCGAGAGTGAGCACTGATCCATCCTCCTGGTAAGCTTTCATTACATGACACCGGGGACGTGATGTCCATCTAAGCCTTGGAGGGCGGGTTGACATACTCCAATGAAGATCTAAACCGGACCCCCTGCCACCCTCCGGGGTTGTCAGTGAGGTTTCGGACCTGGAATCAGACATGTTAGCCGTGTTATTCCAGGCTGCTTCGGCCGTGGGACTGGAGATGGCTTGTCCCCCAGAACCGCAGCTGGATTGCTTAGATGGGTGTTACTTGGGGGTAAAGAAGAAGGCAAAGCCTTCCAGACCCCCGTCCCTTCTGACCAGAGGTACACAAAGAGCTTACGCAGGGATGGAAGGCACCTTTTTGTGCCCA